TGGGCACCATGAATGAGCATCATCAGGAGTGGGCACCATGAGTGGGCACCATGAATGAGCATCATCAGGAGTGGGCACCATGAGTGGGCACCATGAATGAGCATTATCAGCAGTGGGCACCACAAGGGAGGATCATCAGGAGTGGGCACCACGAATGAGCATCATCAGCACTGGGCACCACAAGGGAGGATCATCAGGAGTGGGCACCACGAATGAGCATCATCAGCACTGGGCACCACAAGGGAGGATCATCAGGAGTGGGCACCACGAATGAGCATCATCAGCACTGGGCACCACAAGGGAGGATCATCAGCAGTGGGCACCACGAGGGAGCACCAGCAGCAAGCCCTGTTGAACAAGCACCAGGAGCAAGCCCTGCTGCCCTCCCCAGGGATGGGGCTTTGTCCCCCCCACCCCATGGAGCAGAGCATCCCAGGCTGGGGGTGAGGTTGCTCTGTGGTGCCAGGGGCTGCTGGGAGCCTGCTCCAGGGAAACCACAGCCCACAGGGAAGAGACTGGTTGGGAAATGGGCCCCACGCTGGGTTTCTGCCCCCCTGGGCACCAAGACAGGGCAGCAGCACCCATAGGGGGGGGTGGGAGTCAGACCCCCCCTGGCTCAGCCTGGCACAGAGTGAGCTGGGAGCAGCTCTGCCTTCTCCATCACCCTCCTCTGCCCCTGCCCCTGCCCTGTGCTGAGAGGCCAGGCCGAGGGGACAACTGGTGGCACCAGCTCCCCCAGCAAAGTCCCCTCCCCAGCTCCTGGGCCCCAGTTTCCTTCTTTCCTCATGAAATTTTCATGCTTGTGCTTTATTAACGAGCTCCCCAGAAACCCTGAGCTTTCCAGTGTCAGCTCCATTAAAATGCATCCAGGTCCCTGCAGGTCCTGGTCAGGGCAGAAGCAACTCTCAGATGCTCCAGAGGAACAAGACAAGGAGTTGGCACAAATCCTGCCGGGTTCCCAGGGCTGCTGCACTGCCTGGTACCCTCCTGGCACCAGGGCAGCTGCCAGTGCTCAGTGCATCCCCCCTTCCAAACAAAAAACCCACCCAAAAGCTGGGCTGGGCAAGGAGGAAAGAGATCCATGAGCCCCCCAAATTCTTCAGGCCTCTTCTTCCCACATCAGTGTCACGAGTTGTTTCCATCCTCAGCCCTCCCCTGCTGGGGACCCTCTGGCATCACCCCAGGCTGGGGGGGATTCCTGCTGGGAAATGGCAATTCCTGCCCTATCCCATCCTTGAGGAGGGTGTGAAGCCCTGGAGGACTTGCCTGCACCCCCTTTCTCCCCAGCTTTATTCCCAGCAGGGCTCCAGGAGGAGCAGCTCAGGGGGAACCTTCCAGCTCAGGCCACTTTCTTGCCCTCATTTTCAAGGCAGATCTGCTCCTAAATCACAGATCATCAGACACATCCCCTTCCTTCTGTCTCCTCCACCACCCCCCCCATCCCTGGTCGGCCTCCTCGGGGTTCATACATCCCTGGGATGGCCCGTTGGGAATTTTAAGGGCTTTCCAAACAGTTTTACCCCCCTCAGATCTGGAGTCTCAGGGCGTTGCAGCCCAGCTGGGGGTGCAGTGGGGACCCCAGGGTTGGCACAACACGGGTTGGCACTGAGTTCCCAGGAGCTGCAGATGTCCCCAAAGGGTTGAGTTTGCATGGGGTGGCACTGGGGGGGCTTCCAGCTTCCCCTTTTCACTGGGACCCCTTAACATTCCCCTCCTGGCAGCTCCACTCGTGCCCAGTGGGATAAACCAGTGGGAAAATGAGACAGTGGGGTCCTGGGCTGGAAATGACCCCCCCAAAATGCTGCTGGCCAGCAGCTGTGGGGGCAGAGGGAGACAGGGGGGGCTGGTGCTTGCCCAGGCAGCTGATTGCTGGTTGCTAATTAGCAGAGCCCTGTAAATACAGGTGTTAGCAACCCCCTCCTTCCCTGCTGTGCTGTGTCTTGGCTGGAGGGAGGTGGGAGAGGAACCTGGGGAGGTTTCTGGGCTGTGGAAATAGGGGGGGAATTGGGGACAAGGTGGCTACTAAAGTAGCACCTGGGCTACTGATCCATCATTGGGACAAAAAAGCAGGGAGTTCAATTTTTTTGGAGGTTTTGTCTCTTCTCTGTTGATTTGCTGGGGGTTGGGATTCATGGCAGGAGGGAGGAGTGGGATTTGGGATATGGGAGGTGGGATTTGGGATGGGGGCAGCTCTGGTGGCAGCCTCATCCCTGTCAGCCCTGCCTGAGGGGTCTGGGTGGGGGTGACCTGGTTTTGGGGAGCCCCTGGAGAAGCTGCAGGGGCTGGGGGGGGAGCCCAGGGCAGCTTGGCTGATGATTCTGCTTTTGAGCAGGTTGAATA